AAGAATAAAGGTGAGTGTGCAAAAAGCATTCGAGGAAAACAGGAGACATCTTTGTGTAATAATGTAAGTAGATTCACGGTTCAGTATTGTGCAAAACTGCCAGCAAAGTAACCTGATGTAGCATTAAGTGTCAGAGTTCAGAACAGCTTTGTACTGAGATCATAAACTGTTGCGTTTGTATCTATAGTTCTAAGAAATAAACATGCCTTGTGTTTTAGCTTTGGATGAGATGACTTTCTAAGAGAGACGGAAAAGACTTAATCAGGCAATATGTCGGTTTAGTGAGTTTGAATCGCTGTCTTGTATGATCCTGCCTCATTTGCTGTTTAAGTGGAATTGTTTCCCTGTGTTTGTATGGCCGGCTTGAAAAATGTTCACATGAATGACTTGTTGTAAAAGCATGGACCGAGAATGAAACATAACTATGTTTTGTTTAGCTTTTAACACCCCCCTCCCCTCCCTTTACCCTACTATTCACTGTGCCATATGAGCCTGGTTGATATGCCTTTTATTTACATGCCATAAGATAAATTTGCAAAGCTACAGAGAGCAATCAAATACGTTTTCAAGTAGTTTCCCAGTTAACACCGGCCTGTTCCAAAAGATTAACCCGTTGGGTATGCAGTGGTTGCCTTTAAGCTGCATGTGGATTTCTGAACCTGTCCTGAGGGGTTATCTTGATAAAGGAATAAAATGTATTGAAAACAAATTCTCGGAGTTGTGACTTGTGTATTATTATCCGTGTACACATTTTAGTTTTTATTTGAAGAAAGAGGCACACAGTTGAGATAACTTAGATGAAGCCTGGTATTTAACGTTTGAATGCAATCACTTCTTACATAGACGCAACACCTGCTGGGAACCTGGAGTGAAAAATCAAGAATAGTTCATTTCACTGATATTTAATGCGAAGGGGGCAGTGTTATGACAAATTATGCCTCAACACTGTATGAAGCTTTTATTTTAGACGCCGAAATTAAGATCTCTAATTGTTTCACTATACAAGTTAAAAGGGGGCTTTGTGTTTGTCGTGATTTTCTGTCACGTAGGTATGTGCAGTTGTGGTAAGAAGATGACATCCACTCACTATGGGTGTGAATTTCATGGTAATTTGGGGATTTTAATGATTTCTTTTAAATGTTTTTGGTTTGTTTTCCCAGGATTGGACAATTCAACGACATAAGTGGCTTCAAAAAACAAAACAAAAAAAACACACAAGAACTGGGTGCACAAGTTAAAATTTATTTTGGATTTTCTATAATCCGCATTGTCAAAAGTATATTTACATACAGCCCCACTAATTTTTGGTTAAGTGTCTTTTAGCAAGTTGGACCACAACCATATACTTTTAGTAGCCATCACAAGCTTCTGGCATAATTCTGGCTGGATATTTGACCGCTCTTCTTGGCACAATTGGTAGCATTTATTTCAATTGGTTGGTTTCCTGGTACAGACCAGACTTTGAAGCATAGCCCACAAACTTTCAATAGGGTTGAGGTCAGGGTTTGGGAAGGTCGTTGTAGAAGTACAATGTTAGCCTGCTTTATTCGTTCCAGAACAACTTTTGATGTGTGCTGTTGGATCATTGTCCTGTTGGAATACCCAGCTGTGTCCATTTTTCAAACATCTAGCTTTTGACTTGAGGTAAATTAGAAGAATTGGGAGGTAGTCCCCCTTCTTCATTATTCCATCCACTTTGTTCGATGTACCACTACCACTTGTACCAAACCAGACCCAGAGCACGATGTTATCACCACTGTGCCTGACAGTTGGTACAGTGTTCTTAGGGTTTGAAAGCGTCACCTTTACTACTCCAAATGTACCTCTTGTCATTGTGGCAAAATAACTCAATCTTTATCTTGTATGGCCATAAAACATTTGGTAGACTTGCAAATCTAAGTCAAGCTTGAAGGTGCTGATTTTGGAGCACAGGCTTCTTTCTTGGTCAGCTCCCTTTTAGCCCATTTTAATGTAAAACTTGATTCACCAATGGATAGCGGCACTGGTATTCTAGCAGTTTCCAGTTCATGGCAGATTTGACCCTTGGTGGTTCATGGTGGTGATTGTTCCTGAACATCATGAACAATTTCCTCTTATCTGAGGGTGATAATTTGGGTCTTCCTACAGACCATGACATTGGTATGTCCAAATAACTTGTATTTATGTACAGTTGTTTGAGCCAAAAATAAAGCTACAATTTTCGTTCTTGGATGTTCACTGAGGCAACTGGACGTTCCTATTGTTCGGAGTATTGATCAATCCAACAACTTCTGTCAAACAAATAAATTTTTGTGCTGGCAAAGAGAATTAACCTGTTATAGTCAATCACGATCACTAACGGGAAGTTAATAGGTCTTGGCCTCAAAGAAATCATTAAAAGCCCATAACTACTATAATGTTCATGCCCATCACGAGTGGATGTCAGCTTCTGACAACAACTAGTTATATGACAGAAAATTATGGACAACATGAGACCCCTCAAAACCTATATAATAAAAAAAAGGTGTAAATTAATCTACAACTGAATACAAGACAGGAATGACTTATTTTACCACTCAAACAGCCAGTTTCAAGCTATACATCCAATGCTCTTCATACAGTTAAAACCACATGCCAGCCTTTTTGGTTTGTAGTTTCATACACAGGTAACGAAAAGCAATGTGTTTATCCCTACTGTAACTGATGCAGTCTTTGATGCCTAAAATCTGGGATATGGTCACTTTGTGATTTATATATAGGAAATAGCTTTGCCTTCTTTTAATAGTTTTTCTCAAAAAATAAATAAATAAATTTAAAATAAATAAATATATATATATATATATATATTTATTTATTTATTTTTGTTATATATATACATGTATATATATATATATATATATATATATATATATATATATATATATATATATATATATATATATATATATATATATATATATATATATGTGTGTAGGCCACACACACGAAGCTATTTGCAGCTCAGGTATTTTGTTTGATCTAATTCAGATTCTCACCCTTTATATCCTGGCCAGTCAATTTTAGATTGATTTTTTTTTAATGCAAAATTGATTCCAAAGAGATTGTAAGTAAAATCTGTATAAAGCTACACAGATTCACACACACTTTTGGGACGTCTTCTAAATTACGCGGATAAACAGTAAATCTATTTCTATTGATTTCACTGCTCAGGGTTGGTCTCATTAAATATCTCTGTTAGTGAGCATGATGTGAACATGATTGTTGTATCTTCTCTGTTGGCGAGAGTGTGCATTCTTTCGAGGTGGAAGGATTCTCTGCGCCCAACATCTGGCTAGTAGATTAGAGGGGTTATATGTTATATTCATCTAGAAAGAAAAGATCAGGTACACCATCAGAAGAGCTGCTGGGAAAGTCTAGGTTACCTGGCAACCATTCATATCCTTTGTTGAAAGCATTGCAGCTGTTGTTATTAACACATAAAATGACGATTATTTTTTTTATATATGATTGAGTAAGTATGCTAACGATGTCTGACTATGTCAAGGACATGTGAGAGAGTGGAAGACGGCGCTGGGTATCATGGCATGCCATCTCTCGCTTCTCTTGGTTCTGAAATATTTATGTTACCAGTTTTTAAGTTGTATTTTTTTCTGTATAGTTTTTATTTATTTATATATATTTTTTATCTTCAAATAGCTGCTTCATAAATAAAGTGATGATGATGATGATTATTATTATTATTATTATTATTATTATTATAATCAAACGGGTGGTAAAGGCCTGATTGTTTTTAAATAAAATATAATATTTAATAAATTGTAATAAGAAAAATCTAGGAAAAATAGTAAGGGCACCATAGTTATACCATAGTAATTACAATGTCTTTTGTTTTGTTTTATATATACATCACATGCCATATCTTTGAAGATGTTTAGCCAAAGTTTCTTTTTTGACATTATTACAGAGTTACAGCAGCTTCACCAAGTACCACAAAGCAGTTGTTTCGTACTCCAAAAAAAAAAAAAAAAAATCGACTTCAGTGTGCTTTCTGTGTAACATTCACATTCCGATGAAAGCGAGTGGAGCAGCCAGGGTTCAAACCACCAACCTTGCAGTCAGTACATGATCTGCTCTAACCTCCTGATCCACAACTGCCCTCTATATGTTAACTTCATTGAACTTGATTTGCAACATAAGAATGAAAAGGTTTGCAAGTCACACAAGGTAAAAATTCAAAGGTTGTAATTTTCAATTTCCATGTATTTCAAATAGGGTTAAAGGTCTCCGAGGGATTTCCATTCTAAGCCTAATTTTTCAGCTTTGCACCACTGGGAGGTGATGTTGTACAACTTTTAAATGTAAAGAAAACGCCTGCTTGCTCATTTGATCCACAGATAGTTGACCAGACAGTAAATCAAGGTAGCCAGATAAGCTGGAAACGCCTTGTCACATTTCCTAGGTTTTTAAAGCCCCTTTAGTATTTTTAAAGGTCCCTTTCGTTAAATAGCCACCAAAGTGGAATAGTGTGGTGAATAATCATGGCCTTGCTGTACATTTCCCTCATGCATTTACTGTATCTGACGAGTGTAATAGCGATTTTTAAACTAGGGTTAACCAGGACAGACCGAAATTGCACTTTTAGGGCTGTGGTTGAAGGGAAGCCCAACACTGCTTTCACCAGGCGTTTTATTCAAGGCACAGTGCTTACACACATCATTTATAGGCACACATAAATCTTTATGACCTTACATGTACACACATCTTGACGAGCCATTTCACCACAGCTCTGAGGATATTTTCTAAATATATACATAAAAATGCACTTGTTTCCTGTGTGAACCTGGAGTTGGGGAGTTGCTCGATCCGCGCATAAAAGTACAACACATTTTTGAAATATTATTGACACTGACGTGGCACAGTGGCGCGTCAAAGTAACTGCTTGTCAGATAAAATGTTGCCAAATCCGACGCCGATCAATCAAACTGCAAGTGGCCGGGTCATCGTGACAGGTAAATCGCCGTAGGACTGCTCACGAGTCCCCCGGTCGTAACCGAGCTCATAGCGCTGTGGAGCCCCCGTGATGTGGTGTGGCGTGTGTGTGGGGGGAGGATAGGATCGCTACCAGCCAGATAAACACTCGGCATTGGTTTGCAGAGCAGGAGTAACATGGCGGCACAGTTAGCCAGCAGAAATGTTGTTTCACTATCGCGAAGGTCAGAGCTGCTTCGGATAAGCGGAATTTAACAGCGAGGACACGGCCAAAAGTGTTAAATCGTAAGTAGCCACACGCTTTTGTGCTCCTTGTCGAGACGCGGCTTGGTGTTTTTGTTTTTGTTTTCTATGTTTTTTTTTTGTGTGTGAAATCCGCTGAGCAGGAGCGAGAGGCTCTTCAAATCTCGGTTGTGTCTTGTCTGTCTGGCACAGGCTCTCGCTTCGGCGTTAGCTTAAATTAGCAAGCGCTAGCTGCTTGGCTAAGCTCGCCGCCTGTATCGGTGGTGTTTTCTGCAGCAAACTTAATTAGACGACACGGGCAAAAAGCGAGCCTTGAAGCGGGGAGTTACTGCAGCGTACGCGCTCCGCTTTTTATTCGGCGGTGGCCGCATGTGAAATGGGCAAAAAGTGAAAATGCGAAGTGCACAACACTTTCATGTGTCATTGTGTGTGTGTGTGTGTGTGTCTGTTTTTTTTTTTTTTTTTTTTTTTTTTTTTTTGTGCTGAGTGAGCTAGAGACCGTGCCTACAACACCGGACGAAGTTCGCCAGGGTAAGCAGGAGCCCAGTTAGCATGCTAACGATGTAGCCGCACAGGCTGGAGTCCCTTTTTTATGTTTTCCTTCTTTTTTTAACGTTGTTGTCAGAAAACGTGAGTCAGGACAGTTCCCATCACCATGTGCTTGAGCGGGCTGTTGTTGTTTGTTGTTGTACTATCCAAGCCTCATTACTACTTGACACATTAGGTAAGTTGGCGATTCCCCCCCTTTCTCTAGGGAGCATAGACTACTTTTTTGTTTTGTTGTTGCTGGTTTTCATTTCTTTTTTTCTTTTTTTTTTTCTGAACTAATGTTTCTCCTGTGTTTGACGGTACTACTCGTGGACTTGGTTACAGCAGTCAGAATCAGCGCTTTGTAACTGTAACTTTGTAGCAGTTTAAGTCAGTGTCAAAGTTGCCCATGGACACATGGTCACATGACACGAGCACAGATTGGAGGGTTTTTTTTTTTTGTAGTGTATTTTGGCCTTGCTTTAAAAGGGTAAAATTGCCATGGATTCACACATGCACCAGTCGCATGTTGGTGGAGGAAGGAACTTAATCTGGAATACAGTTTTAGGCATTAATGCAGTGTCTGTTTGTTTTTGTGTGTGTGTGTGTGTGTGTGTGGTGGGTCTGCTTGTGTGTTGCATTGTTGTGCCTGTGTTGAAGGAGTGCAGCACTCTCCTTTTTAAGGGCCCCTCTTGCATGACTGATTCTGGACTATACAGACAACACAGCTTGTGCCATTTCAATGTCTGTCAACTGTTCTCTCAGTAATGCTGCAGGAGCGCATCCCGTGGAACCAGTTGAGCAGTTTCTATTGCATCCCTCTCCCCACCTGATGGTGCACAGGGCTTGTCACATCACCAATACGAGATTTAACATGACATGCTGTCCAGCTGCAGGTTTGACTGTGGCTTCACTGCTTATATGGAAATGAGATGAGATGGGAGTCTGTCAGATCTCACAGTAGTCATATGCAAATTCTGGAGAAGATGTAACAGACAGAAAAGTGTATGTGTGCTGCTGTGCATGTATGTCTGCATGCATCTTGTAATCATACATCTGAAGTATGACCAGAGGAATATGCAAAAAGTGTATTTCTTTAACTTATTGTGGGGTTTTTTTCAACCCCCCCATCCATGTATGCATGTGTTGTGTGTAAACCGCTTTGAAAGTATCCCTCTTTGCAAGCCTGAACAGCATTTAATCTCCAAGGCATAGAAGTTGTTGACTTTGTAGTTTGCACAGAAAGAAAATTGTTCAGGTATTTCAGTGTGTGGTGGATCGAGGCAGATTAAACTGTTCGTCCTTGTGAGAAAGTAAAGATGTCCTCCTGAGCTGACCCGATTTAAATTTTCAGGCTGTATTAGATAAGGGGTGTGGATCTCTTGTATGACGTGTATGTGACAGCCCACTACTGGTTAAAGGAATGCAGTCCTATTCAGAGGCAAACCTGCTTTCCAGCGCTGTTGTTAGATGCCTGTATGCTTTTTGTCTAGTTTAAAAGAGGAGACATACTAGACTACTGAAGAAAGGGGGGGGGGGAAGAGAAAAAAGGAAAATATTTTTGTATAGCTTTCACTGAACAGAGTGAAAGAATGACTGCTGGGATTCACACAAGCATGTAAGCAAGTATGTGGATGTTTATACAAGGATAACTGGGTGGAAGTTTTCTCACACTCACTTGGCACTATTTGTGCGATGGGCGTTTCCTAAAAGGAGAACTCAGCCTGAGCGCATTGTAAACTGCAGCTCCAGCAACAGGTGTGTGGCACAGACGTGCTGGTCACGTCACATGATTCAGAATCAAGCCTTTCTCCTGCATACTTGCTTTCTTTTTGTTGTCTCACTTGGTGACAGACTTTTTGTATATTGCCCTTAAGGTCCTTGTGGCGTCCTACTGCCTGTTAACCGTGTGTTCATAATTTCCTAAATCAAGCCAATATGTTGCTGTGAACTTGGAGATAAGCCCCTCCTAATATACGTGCTGACTTTTGTCCTATTGGGAGTTGGTTTGTGTCACACGAAGTGATACTGTATTAGCTTGACCTTTGTTCTGCTGCATTTGTGTTGCCAATTCTTGGCTTTTTATTTTTTTATTATTCCATTATCACAGCTGGACTAATATCTAGCCCCAGTAATGGGTCTATTTTGGATTTCAGTGCAATTATAGAATTGCATGCAACTTGTGTGTTTAGTGATTTGTACAGACTTTCATTCAAAATGTCATCTTTGGCTGTGAATGAATATAACTGAATTTTAGGGAATTTAATATTTGTCAGGCAAAGCAGGGCATATGAAGACAACTTTGACAGTGGTAAAGGAATGATCGATTTATTTATTTAGATACAGGGTGTATCAAAAAGTATAAAACAATTTCAAAGTGCTTTAAATCAGTGGGTGTTCACGGGTTAGCCTTTGAAACACGTACTGTTGAGAAAGAGGGGATTTGTGAGTTTCACGTGGTTGCTGGTAGGTAGCAGTGGCTGCAGTGATGCCAGATGTGCTTGGAAAACATGTGAAAATTGAAAGTTTTGTATGTAAAACTGTATATTTAGCCATATTTTTTACAACTTACTGCAAGCTTATGTGTCTGTTACTTTGAAAAATATAGTCTTTTGAAACCAGATTATTATTTTTTTGATACACATTGTTTTTATTGACCGATAAGTTGGCAAGCTAAGTTTTCCATTAACCTGTAAAGAAAATCCTCCCACAGCACTATAAACAGTTTTGTTAGACCTGGTGGGGGGAAAAAACTGTAATGATGTCTGTGGTCATGTTGCAATTTATAAATGCTGTTAAGACAGTAAAATAATATATAACAATAATAATAATATGTGATTCTGTTAAGTTTGAGTCCTGTCACAGGGTCTGCCTGCCATAACTCTTATCACTGTGGTCACCTGTGGTCTCAGCTCGTTTTCAGTTTTATTTTATTTTATCTTACTTTATTTGTACAGTGTGAATAACTATACCACATGCGCAGGTGAATTCCTAAATCATAAGCTTCCTGTAATCTTTGTCCATTGGTATTTGAAAGGAGAGGTAGCACTCAGATGCTGGCAAAATTACTGCTTCGCATTTTAGGGGATGGAAGATTGTAATTCAGTATGATCAATTAAGCTAAACAATCGCATAAATTCTTAACTAAACTTTGAGAGGCATGCAGCAAAGAGAGATGTGTCAACATGACGCTCGGATAATGTTGCCATGGGTAGTTTCACAGCTGACATCTGGCACCCTGACATGTGTTCAGACAAATGTGTTTTTAACAAGAGAGGGGAAAGACAGCACTAGCATCAACAGGTTCTGATTGACGCTGCATTGGACACACAGAAACTAGTTATTGGTACATTAACGTTTATCTTAGCAAATCTGTATATTTTAGACTTGTAACCAAAGTTCTATTCAAATAACAGTTAGTTTTAGTAAAATAAACAGTGACTGACGACTCGTGTCTAGGATTCGAAACCCAGTTGCAGTCGATGACTTATTGAGTTATTAATATAATCTGTTGACAGTAATCACTTGTATATGTTTTGGTAAGATTGTTAAGAGGTAGTTGTAAGCTGCTTTCTAGTTCGAGTTTACAGTTTTTAATTGTAGTTGGTTTCTTTAGTCTTCTTGGAGAGTTAACTGATGGTCACTGGGGTTGTTGGTTGCCTAAAAAAGGAATTTCAAAAGGAAAATTATGCAGAACTTGGATCTCCCTCCAGGGAAAGCCTTGCTGGAGAAATCAGCCTTGTCATATGGCAGACCTTCCCAAAGTGTGGGGCCCGCCCCTAGGGGGGCGCAGAGCCATTGCAGGGGGGCGCGGTATGAAGGGGGGGCTTGGACACTGCTAGCACGGGGTTCCCACACAAACGTAAAGCAGGAGATGAAGCATCGCTGAATATGTTTCCAAACCAACCTCATTCTAAGCCACAGACTAGAAAATATGGTGAAGCATATCTGCCCTTTGATTTCACCGACACAAGTGCCGAGGTAGGTCTCCCCTGCATAATTGGCTTTCCCTTCATCGGGAGTAGCGCTGGGCTCTTCAAATCATGGACAAACAGTATCCCACGTTCTTGATTTTTAGTTCTTAAACATTTCTCATAATGACTAACTACTCCTGACATGTTGGAGATGTTAGCTCTTTATACAGTAAAAGTACAGCGGGATACATATAATATCAGGCTGATCCTGCCACAATTTGTTCCCCCGGTTCAAATCCCGGACAAACAGTATCCCACAGCTGTTTATGTGTTTAAACCCATTTTGCACAGAGAGACATTTTTGGAAAAATGTATTGATAGCAATGTTGAATATTATTACACAGGAAAAAAACAACTACACGTAAAATAATCACACCATGATGCCTCTGCCTTTGTAAATGGAGGGACAGTAACTGTGTGTGTATGTAAGCGTGTAAAAACTGAAGATAGTCAGATTAACAGTATTTCGTCTCTATCTGCCATTCTGCAATTCATCTCATGTAAACAATAACGTGGCGTGAAAAAGGGCACATACCTTTG